TTTTTGCTACTACTATACTTAGACTATACCCATACAAAACTTATATCAAAGATATATACTATAAGTCTAACCTAACCTTAGTTTAAGTAAATTAAAAGCTAAACTGATCTCATCGAGAAATTCGTGCTCTAATCTAAACTAAAATTTAGTTCAAGAATATGCTGGCATTTCTCTTTAGTCTCATTTCTCTCAGTGTATATACAAACACATATTTTTCTTTTATTATAAAGCTACTAGAAATGTATGCAGCTCAGATATGTAATTTTTGTCTGCCCGTCTAGCACAAGGGTGTGTACACACACACACACACACACACAAAGTTTGTTGAAATGTATTTTTGTGTGTATGTATGTGTGTGTGCTCCCACTGGGTCGGTAGGCACTGTGTAGAGTATGTTATAGACCCATTCAGTTGAGTCGAGTTCGAGTCATCGTCAACGTGTCTATGTACTAATCATACATTATTCATCAGCACAATTTTACTCGAAAAACGGCTGGAAGATAGAACACAAAACTAGGCCCCGGGCCCCCTAGAGCCCCCACTTACCACTCGCTTGCCCTTCTTGTAATGAGTGCGAGCACTAAAAATCGATACTAAAAAAAAACACAAAAATTAAAAAACAAACTGACTTATAAATAATGTTCAGGCCATGAGAAATAAAGCCAACAACAATAGCAGCAGCAGCAGCAACGGCAGCGGCAACAGCAAACGAAATGAATGTAATAAAATTTTGATATAGGCGTGAACTTTATGAAACAATAAGAAAGAAATAACAACAACAACAATGGGCGATGGTCACTAAAAGACAAACACGCGCATGCAGTCAAACACTCAGACATACACACACACACACACACACACACACACATACACACGCAGCTATTAAATTGAAAACACCTTGAAGAACAACAAGAACAAAGGTAGGCAACAGCAGCCAGCCTAACCGAACTGCAGCCGCAGTCAAAAAGTCACAAAAGCCAAGCACTTAACTTATTACACGGCATTCCAATGTCCTTCCAAAACATTGACGTGCCACGCCCCCCAATGCCGAGCCCCTACCGTGTGCCCATCTGACCATCTGCCTCACGCTACCTTCTTACACAAGTCGAGCCGCCTCCGTTGTGGCACGCCCCGCGGAGCGCGTCTCGCGTCTCGCGTCTTGCGCCAGCGGAAGTCCTTAGTTTGTAGTCGTTAGCAGAGAGTCCTTCCTGGCCGCCGTTCGACTTCTAGTCGAAATATGCAACGCCACTTGACTTGTTTTCTATTTTTTCCTCCTTCTCCTCCGCCTCCTGCTCTTTTTTATTCCACGCTCTGCCACTGTCAAATCGCAGTCAAAGAGGATGGAGTGAGATGGGAATAGAGCGCAAGAGAGCGAGTGCAAGAGAGTCGTGGAGCAGGGAAAATATTACGATTACAAGCATGTTTTGTTCTTCATGCTATTCCACTATCGCACTTTTTTCCTACTCATTTGGCCTCCTGCTTCAATGCAGCAGTTTGTACGCTCGCTGGCATGCTTGCAGCGCATTGCACTGAGAGAAAGACGAGGGTACTAAATCAATTAATCACAATAACTCTAGTAAGTTGCTCAATGCTGATAAAGGGTTTAGCTTTGTCTTTTCTCTCAATCTCGCAATGTATTTATCATACATTCGCTCTCTATCTCTTTTTCTTGCGATAACTCTCTCCACACATTTCAGATTCCCTTCTACTGCCTTCTCAATATTTTTCCCCTTCTCTCTTTCTCACATCTGCCGCACTCACATCTTATTTTTTTGAAGACTATTTATCTTTCTCTCCATCTCCATCTCTATCTCTGCCCATCTCTCACTCTCTCCCACTCTCTCCATCTTTCCCTCCCCCTCTTAAGCTCAAAAATTCTGAACAATAATTCCATTAATTAGCCAAACTTATAATTAGTTAAGACCCTTTGTGTGCACATTTTCATTCTTCAAAAAAAAAGCTGTCTTCACATTGTTTTTGGATTTTCCCTCAGTGTAAGAGAACTTTGGTAACTTCAAGTACACGCGGCGGCGGCTTCTTTTGTTTTTCTTTTTTCGGGCAACGCCGTTATACGCGGTCATTTTGGCTTTAACTTTGTATTTGCTGTTGAGCCCTGTTGGCCCCCCACTTTCCTTAACTTGAATTTAGCTCAGGGCCGTTACCCACACACATACAGACATATACACGCACACACACACACAGATACCCACAGCTGAGCCTTGTCAATTGCACATAATATTGTAAAGTCAGCGACGCCTCTTTGCATAATTGCATCAACTTTGTGAACTACGTAAAGGAAGCAAAGTGTGTGTGTGTGTGTGACTATGCATGTGCGTGTGTGGTAATGCCAGAGGTACCTACCTGTCATCCGTCGGCTTATACGTTACAATGTACTTCTCAATGGGATGCGCCTTTAGATCAATCTGCGTTTGCCACGAGACACGCACAGCCGTTGGCGTTAGAAATGTTACGGTTATATTTTCCGGCGTAGCTGGTATGGTGCCTGCATACAGACAGAGGAGATAGATAAGCTCGTGTAGATAAATAACAGTTCGACATGACTGCACAGATAAACAAAGTATTTTTAGCTTAAAATTAACATATCCAGATTAAGAAGTCAATAAAAAATAGTTGCTATATGTAAGCCTGAACTGTAGCACATTGATTGGAATCCGGAATTTACATTTCATATTTACTCGGAATCGATACACTTGAAGAAAAATATGTGTTCTTATATAGAAAACTAGAAACTGTATTTAAAATAAACAAGAATACATATTTCTAAACATTAAATAGACAAAATGAAGGAAATGTACATAAATTATTTTAATAGCTATAATCATAATAATTATTTTTATTTTTATTTTTTTTTAGTGCAAGCATTGTCAGGTTTTGAATCAAGTTTTAGCCTCTTTGAAGACAAGCCTATAAATGTTTGTTTATTCTTCCAATTAAATGCACATCATTGAATCATATTTCGACTTGATGTTCATTGACTTCTTGATTTCTTTCAGTGTACACACTCACCAGCTAGACAGGTATTGACAAACAGAACGACAATGAACACAAACATTGCGCTTCAATTGCTTCAGTAGTTTCAATTTCAGTTGCTGTTGATGATGGCTTTGATAATTCCTCTTCTTCGTGTTGTTCGTTGTTTGTTGCTGTTCGTTGTTTGTTGTTGTTGCTGCCGTTGTTGTTGTAGTATGTCCTAAAAAAGCCGGATTTCCTATGGTTTCCGCTTCATTTGCTGGCATTCGTCATTGCACCTTCTCGTGTAATTGTGGTAATTTTTTTGTTTTTGTTTTTGTTCTAGTATTTCTTTTTGTTTAGTACTTTATGAGTATTTCATTTGTAGTTGTTGTTAGCATTTAGTTTGTTGCCAGTTTGCATATGAATAGAAAGCTAACTAAAAACATAAAAATCAGTCTTGCTTTTTGTTCTCTGCGGTTGCTTCTGCTCCTTCKGCTTCTGCTTCTGCTTCTTCTACTTTTGCTGTTGCCTTTGCTCTATTATCCAGGCCAATTAGGCATTGTATATGTAATTGTTGCTGTTGTTGTTGTTGGTGCTGTTGCTGTTGCTATTGTTGTGATGGCTTAGTTTTTCGATTCGCTTTTGTTTTAACTTTAACTTGAACTTTAGTTGGCTTTTTTCTTTGTTTGTTTGAATTTATGCGTTTTTATTTTTTATAGCACATTTTTATGGGCATCGCCATAGGCGTGTGAGTGTGTGTGTGTGTGTGCGTTGTCTTGAATCATCAGACCGTTTTATTTTAGCTATGTTTATCTATATATGTATGTATATATATCCGTTTCGTTTTCTGCTTCTTCTGCTTCTTATTTTTCTTATTGTTCTTAATGTTTCGTGCTACAATTGAGTAAAAATTATTCACAATGCGTTTGCTTTTGTTTTTTGTTTATTTCTTTTGCTGCGGCTCAATGCCATTTGTTGTTGCTGTAGCTCTTGTTGTTCTTGTTTCTGTTTCTTTTTTTTTTCTATATATAAAATCAATAAAAAGCGACAAACGACAAACGCCAATCGTTCAGTTGACAGTCGTTGATTTCTGACTGGAAACAAAAAGTTGGGTTTTGTTTTCTATTCGAGTGTTTACTTATTCCTTTGTTTTGCTTCCTATTTTTTTAGTTTTTCCGCTTTTCCGCTTTTCAATTTACGTGCTTTTCAAACGGCCAATTTATGTGCTGCTGAAATTAATTCAATGAGACGGCGACGGCGCTGCATGAGGGACGCGCACAGCTTTTCCACCTGTCGTCGCCGTCTTTTGATTTATTGTTGTTGCTGTTGCTTTTGTTGTTGTTGCTGTTGTCTGTTTAATTGTATGCATTGCGCATTTGGTTAACAGTTTTTTTGTTGCTGTTACTGTTGGCTTAATTGCTATAGAAGCATTAAGGCAGCTAATTTTTGCGCCTCTTGTTGCGCTTATTTCTTTGCCTTTCTTTGTTTGTTCTCGGTTTGTTTTTCGTGGCACGTTTTCGCCTTAATTACTATTGTTCTTGGCTGTTGTTGTTGCTGTTGCCGTTGGTATTGCCGTGTTTGCTGTTGTTGCTGTAATAAATCAAAGTTTTTGTGGAATATTAATGAGCATCTCGGCAAATGGTTTAGTCAAATTGGTTGTAAGAAGCTTAGGAAAACAAGGCAGCCGAACAATTACTGGAGCACAGTGAGCACTCTAGCAATAAACAGCAATTAGCTGGCCAATATTACTTATAAAGTTCTTAACTTTTATAAAGATTTAAGGCTGAATAAACACAAATTTTCAATCATTCAATAATAAAGTTAAGTTCCATTCACGACTTAAGCTATTCATTTTTTTTTTTTTTTTTTTTTTTTTTTTTTTTTTATATATATTTATTAAGTGTAGAACCGGTACATCAAGAATAGAACCATAACAACACAGGGAAGGTAAATTAATAATAGAGCCGAACCCCATACCGAGTTATGGGGATTTTAAGTTGTGGAGGTTTTACTATTGTCCAATAGTTTTGGCAAAGCCTTGCCGTTTGAGTTAAGCTATTCATTGTAACGTAGTTTGACTGTATTAATATTTATGAATATATGTTACTTATACATGCATATGTCTTAAGCTATTCACTTTAGCGTAGTTTGACTGTATTAATATGTATATGTATTTATGTATATATTGTAAGCCTCTATTCATATATAAAAACATATAGCTAAGAAGCCGGACTTTCGTTTTCATTACGGAAATTGAAACCAAACAAAGCGCTGCATACTTTCAGGCCCACACACATTGCGCATACGCCACATATAGCACGCAGTTGTATACACACATCTACAATCACACACACACACAAACACACCACATTCGCCTGTCTAATGTGCTTTTCTAATACATAATTCCATTTGATATTCACATTCACGTTTCACGTTCAATTAGAAAGACTTGCATTAGCACGCAATCGCATTCGATCAAGCATGAATTTTTTGCTGTTATATATAAATATGTATTATGTATATATAGCGTATATAGTATATATAGCACTAGAGTGATATATAGCATTGGTATACACAGAGTTTTATGGCCTGTCTATAGTTTGGCATTCTTAGGCGCACACATTTCATGCTGTTTTAATGCTTCAAAAGTTTATTCTAGACTCTTCTTTATAGCTATGGAGGCCATTAAAATTTTTAAGTAAATAACTTATAAAGAACCAAAGAATTTATAAATTGTCTAATTAATCAACTTAAACAGTTTAATGCAAACATGAAATGCATAAAAATAAATATCTAAATTAAAAAATCAATTTGTCTACAATCAAAGTCCAGTTAGTTTCTGAATAGAGCTGACTTCATTTAGAATTCTCCAACAATTAAAGCAAGCTAAAATATCTTCAAGGGAAAAGCAACTCAGCTCTGTCTAAAAAGAAATCAATTTGTCTGCAATGAAACACACAGTTTGATTTCACACATTTCTGAAACACAGTTTGATTTCTATTGGAGTAGACTTCATTAGAAATTCTCAAGCACTTAAAGCAAACTTAGCAACTTATTGCAGCTCTGGAAAAGTCGTCAAATGCATAGAAAAGAAATTAATTTGTGTGCAATAAAAATACATTTAGACCCTCACTTCAACACACTTCATTGCGAGTCCTACTCAACGAGTCTTAGCGCTCAGACAAAATTAATTTAGTTGGCAATCGTCTGCAAAGGCATTAAATGATAACAAATCAACACAGAGCTGGAGCTAAGCGCCAGTTAATTTATTTGCAGCTTAGCTCAACTTACAAAAAGTTTTCCAAAGTTCGAAAAAAAAGTAAACCCAAGTGAATACCTAACGGAATAATTCATGAATGGGTTTCAGTTAGGGATAAGTGTAGGGTGGAGTGGTGGACTGTTGAGTGGCAATGGGTCGCATTGAATATTGATACATTTAAGTTGTTTAAGTAGCTTAAATGCGGTATATAACATTGCCCATTGATTGAGTGTGCAGCCATGATGTCCTGGGATTTACGGCCGCACGTATGTAACGAGGGCTACCTGCCGCTCCACCTGTGTGGGTCTGTCCATGTGACATACGTGGCATCATTAAACTGTCACACGGCACTTACTGGCTGCGAAACGTGCCTCGAACCAAAGGGCAAACTTAATTGATTGTAAATGAGTTTACTTTGGTCAATTTCAGCATTGCCGAACTAAATGATGGCTTATGAATGAGTAACTATATAAGACATATGTATATATGTATATAATGTAATGTATGTGATGTCATTATGCATGCAATTATGTAAACAAGTTGAAGGAATTTTTTATTAAATTTGAATCGCACGCGCGCCTTGGCACGCAGAAGGAAATGATTGCAGAGCATTTTGTAATTTAAGCGAGCGTACTCGTAATTTAAATGTTAATTTTCCAAGAAATTTTCATTTGACACTCTTAAAAACGAAAGGGAGTGAGCGAGAGTCGGCACAACTAACAGTTAGCCTGTATGAATAACTTGAGCTCTTTCTCTCTCTCTCATTCTCTCTTTTTGTCTTTGGCTAAACAATGGAAAATTTTGTTCTTAAAATTAATTTTGTGTTTACAATTCAAATGAACTTTTAATGCATATAGACATACATATAGCCTATATACACATATATAAGAAAAGTCTAGGGTATTTAATTTTCATATTTTCATGCATAAAATTCAAATATTTAGCTATGCAAAAACTTCGGCTCATAGCGACGCAAGCACTCTGCATTCTTCTGTCTTTTGAATACAATTGACAACTTCATAATACCCTTTACTTTCATATATATTCAAATGGGGTACGTCGTGTACATGTACATATAGAAAAGCTTGTTGCTGACGTGCTGTGAAAATAATTTCAGCTCTGTGACACTGGTGACGCACTGCGAGAATATTTTCAACTGAAGCACTGAGGAAGTCTGAGTGTGTGTGAGTGTATTGTAGTTTGTAGTGTGTGTATGTGTGTGTGAGTGTGTTTGAGTGTGTGTGCTGCCACATGCACTCCGCTTACAATGAGAATGAGTGAAAACAAGTAGGTGAAAACAGTTATCGTAAAATTAAAATGGCGGCTAGTACGCGCTGTCGCCGCTGACGTCGTCGTCGCCGTCGTCGTCGTCGTCGCAACTGTTAATTATGGCGACAATACATGCACGCATACAAGCGCACGCTTCATACACACATACATACGTCTCCATAAGGCAGCCCTTTCGCTTGCATGTCTACAACTATTGTAAACGTTTGTGTGTGTGTGTGTGTGTTTGTTATTTTTGGTTTTTATTGCACACGTTGCGACTCCAGCTTATTGAGGACTTTTGGCATTTTGCTGATCAACGTTGTGTTGTTTGTATGAAATTTTTTTTGTTTTTGTTTTTTGTTTTTTGTTTTTTTTTTGTGTGCGTTTCTGTTGTTGTTGTCGTTGGGCTGGTGTTTGCGGTAGCTACTGAACAGACAATAAATCAATCAGCTGTGTTAACATCAAATTGCGTACCCCAGACAATTGCCGTTGTCTCTGTGTGCGTGTGACTGTGCATGTGTGCGTGCTCTAAACAAAAAGGTCAGCTTAGTCGCTGACTAACCCCAAAAGGCTTGTATGCCCAGCGCTTAACTTAATTCAGCCATAACTTCAACTATGGCCATTCCCTGTAAGTGTATTTGTGTGTGTGAGCGTCTGTACGTACGCTCACTCGCTCACTGAGAGAAACAGCTCAATTTGCGCTACACTTCAAACTCAATTAATGAGTGAGTTATTAAAGCGAACGACAGCTTAAGCTGCTTGCGCAAAATTTAAGAGCGCCCTTAACTGTAGTTTATCGTTTGAGTGGTAAACGTAAGCTGCACGCTTTGTTGCACTCATTGCATTTGCATAATTAAGTGAGCGTAAAATTTAATTTGTCAAGCGCATTGTACGCACTTGTCCTTCTTATTTTCTTCTTCTTTTTTATGCACGTGGCTTATCTTTTGTCATTTGACCAGTTTCTCTTTTCGCTCAGTGTATTGTTGTAAAGCGGTGTAGAGAGCACACATAAAATGCTATTATTTGCTGGGCTGCTCGTAAAAACAAAAAGCACTTGCTTCGAATTCAGCGCCGAAAAGCGCGCTCTAGCATATGCATGTGTGTGTATGTGGGAGTGTGTTTGTGTGCGTGCCTTGGCCATGCACTTTAAGCTGAGCTGCTCCTGCTGCTGCTGCTACTACTGAAAATTCGTTAGTTCCCCCACCCTCAATAAATCTCTAACGGCAGCTATGCGCCATGTTGCTTTTGTTATAGGTCCCTTTCGTTTTCTGGCAATTGCTGCTAGCTCTGCACCTCTCTTTCTCCTTTTCTTGTCCTTCTCTTCGGTTTGCCATTCCCTTTGGAATTTCAAAAGTGTGTCGCTTGCCAGTGTGTACATACATACAAACATATGCACATACATGCTCACATTTGTGTTGTCATAGGTTCATCGCAGCGAGTAGCTCGAGTATTTTTACATATTTGTATGTATGTGCGTTTGGCTGTGTATGTACGTATGTGGCGTGCTTGGACTGATTTCGCTGCGTGCAATTTACTTCGCCGCTGCTTCAGGCCAAAAATAACATAAATCGTATAAATAAATTGCCACATTTCAACATTTCCACATGTGCAGCAGCAGCGGCAGCAGCAGCAGCAGCAACAGCGGCAACTCACGCAACAATGCGGCGATGGCTGCGGCGGCGATTGCGGCGTCAGTGGTGACAGCGGCGAATTTATTTGTAAATTGAGAGCAACAACAAAAAAAATTACAAAAAAAATTATTTGCCACGTTTTGACTATTCGAAACTTAAATTCAAATTTGTACCATTCTAGACGTCTCTCTCTCTCTGTGTGGGGGTGTGTGTATGTTTATATACTGGCAGCA